GCTTGTTGGGGGGGAAACGGGTCTCTTCCAGGTTCCTAGAAGTCTGGGAGCTGCAGGATAGAAGCAGAGGTTGTTCAGCCGGTTTCCACTAGAGTGGATTAAACAAAACCCCACATTAAAATGTTTGAGATCTGCCTAATGACTCCATCGCTAGCCCACGGTGCTGTAAAAGGTTTATGCTATTTCATTGAAAGGGGTTTAATGGAATAAAAAGACCGGAAGGTTCACAAGAGCATGCTTTTTTCCTTTCCAAGTGAAAATCTGTTCGTTATGAAATGCACTAAACATCCTTCATAAAGTTATTGTTATAGGGACCATTTCACGGCGCCTTGGCGTTTAACTCCTAAGCACATGCACTTTCTCAGTTGCTGTGCTCTATGTAGCACCTGCTTGCTATTTGGATTTTAATAAGTTTTGTGTCTACTATTAACTCCGGAGAAATGCTGCAGGAAAGATGGTTACTTTGGTCAGTAAGGTTCTGTCTTGAGGTTTAATACACGGAGAGAAAAAGGTGAAATTATTATTATATTCTAGGTTGGGCTGGCAGAGCTAGATGTGAGGAATGGTCTGACGACATTTTCAGCTGAGTATGTCTATGATTCAGCAGTGCTGGAGTGAAGAAATTTGGATCACTGAGATCCTGGGGAGAGGTGCTACAGAAAAAGAGGAGAGAATCGTGCATTTATGGTAACTGAAGCTGAACTAGATGTACCACGTATCCCTGTAAAGCAGGGCGATGAAAGCAGTGGTTCGCCCACAAGAATATGAATCAGAAGGGTGGTTGCAAGAGACATGTGGTGATACGACAAACTGTCTCAGTCTGCTTGCATCCAGGTATCCGTGTTCTGCCGTAGTTCTTAGTGATTATTGTTTGAGTAAAATTTAAGAGAGAATGTCAGGTGAAGGTTTTAACTCTATACCATTAAAATACTGTATTTTCTAAATTTATTTGTCTGTACTAAGCTGCAGAGTAACAATATTTCTATTGCTTTTCAGCTATGAGAAACCTCCCCCAGGGCTAATTAAGGTTGGTAAATATATTGCAGTAAATTTTTAGCATTACAAGGGATTTTCACACAACCTGTCTTTTAGTCGTTTATCTTAAGTGTCTATGTTACCTATATAAATTACCAAGAGAAGTAAGTGCTTCCAGGGGAAAACTCAGAGCTCCTCAGTTCCAAGCCAGCCTCTTTGACTTGGTGAATCCGGAGTGAAATGCCCAGGATCAGATAGGATGATACCAGTTCTTTCATCACCTCTTAGCATGCACACGTAATGCAGTATTTAATAGTGCAGATAGAGAGGAGCCATTTATGGTGAAGCAGATTTTCAGTTTGAATGACGTCATTTCAGGATTCTTCTCCATTGCTTATGCTCGAATATTTGTGTAAAAATACTTTCATTTCATAATGATCATTGGTTTTGCCAAATTTATATACCTAAGACATAATCTAGTGCTTTTAACCTAAAAAATACTGCTGTGTGTTGTAAAGGCTGTTTTTAATTATTATGTCTTGTTACCAGGAAGAGGAAAAAGTTGTCTCCGCTTGTCTGTTAATTTTTCATTTATAATCTTTATTTAAATAAATTACTAAAATAAATGGGAAGGAATGGAATTAATATGGCAATAAAGTTCAGAGTAGAAAAGTCAAGGGTGTGGGAAAAAGAAAATGACTTAATGCTGTTAAAAGGATCAGGTATTTTGGATCCTTCATGTGTTACAAGAAAAAAGAAATGTTACAGCGAAAGTAGGTTCCATATTAAATGAAAGTCTTGGACTATTAATTTTTACAAAATAAATAAAAAAATAAAACAAACAAACAAACAAACGAACTATTTAAATGTCCTTATCTTTTTCCATAGGAGAATGAAACAAAACCAGAAGACTGCATACCTGATGTGCCAGGCAATGAAAGCGCCCGAGAATTCCTGGCACATGCCCCTACAAAAGGGCTTTGGATGCCTTTGGGAAAAGAAGTCAAAGTCATGCAGTGTAAGGGTGAAAATATTCCAGATGTCATTGGACCTTCGTATAGCCGTCTGTTTACTCTGGGGGAGGGCAGAATGTCTGGTGGACAGATGACAAGGTCCAGGTGGATTGGCATCACTGATATAAAAGCAACCAGAATCTTGCAGGCTGTAGTAAAATGCATAAAATGCATTTTATGGACGTTAGATTTATCAACATAATACTTTAATACTTGTACCTATTTATTTGTTTCAACCAATTGAAAATATTTTCCATAAATATGCTTCTTTTTTTTTTTTTTTTTCTTTTCTTCTTCTGATCTGGCTCAGAGGTGCAATTCACTGCTGCTTCTTTTTTTTAAAGGTTGGAGGTGTAAACGTTATGGACACAGAACAGGAGATAAAGAATGCCCGTTCTTTATTAAAGGCAATCAGAAATTGGAACAATTTAGAGTAGTGAGTACAAATACTGTAGTCTTATTGCTTGTATTTTTCAATATTGATGATGCATAATCTTGCAAGTGAAAAGAATCCTGTTAGATGATGCTTTATTAAGGACTTTTCCTCTGTCTCTAGTATAATATAGATGCCGAAAATCTCCTAATAAAGAAAAAGCTACAGATGTGGTTGGATGTTTGACTACTTTGCAGAAAATCTACTCTTCGAGAGGAAAATTAGTAATTTTTACATTTAAATTGGAAATCTTCAAGAACCTGTTTCAACCATTATATTCAGTTTTTGTGATTAAAACATCAACGTAACAAAAAATGTTTAGTCAAGCTTGAGCTGTCTACATTACAGCTGCTTCAAGCCTTCCGCTCTCACTGTGAACAACCACATCATGAAGCCTGTTGTCTAGGTCTGTAATCCCGTCATTGTCTACCAGTCTGATCTCTTGCTACATGAGGCTACATCTCAGTTCTGCAGATTCTTTCTGCGTGACCTCTTTAACTTTTTCTGTTGCTCCGCATTGTTAAACTAGATTTCACGCTCTCATCACTGTGTCTTATGTCCTCGTTTCTATCCTTGAAAAATGCAATCTGGACTTATTCTGTCAAACCAGAGTGCTACTGCAAAGAGTATTTTTAGCCTGCTCCCATGACCAGATTGCCTCTATTCTTCATTTTTCCTCAGGCTTCTCCTCTGTTTCATCAAACTCTTGCTGTATGTCCAAGGCCTTTCATGGTGCATTCCCAACATCTTTCATTTGCTACTGACATTTTAATTTCCCACCTCTGGTCAGCATCTGATATCTCCTCTCTGTTGAACTTGTTTGCTGAATCTTCCAACAGAAATGATCACCCCATCCGTTTGCTGCATTCTCGCACGGCATGAACTCACCTTAAATACCTGCAAAGTTTATTTGCTGTCTTCCTTCACGACAATGTTTTGCTGCAAAGCCTGTTTAATTTAAAAATAACCAATTAAAAAACAGTAATGGTAGCACATAGCATGTTAGGACAACTCCAACTTCATTATCCTCTTGTCTTGTATTCCTTGCTCCTATATTCCTGTGTGTTTGTATCCAAGTTTTTAAAATATGCTATATGGGCACAGCTCATTATTTTGAACTTCAGTATTCCTTCTATGTCTAGCTATTCCTATAGTACATGTATGGTGTTCTCTTAGTTAACTGTGATGGGAGAGGGGGAGAGGTAGTGTACCTAAGGAGAGTTCCCTTCATCGGTGATCCAACTAGATAAGCTTTTCCTGAAGTAAAAAAAAAAAAAACCAGTTCAGATTAATGATGTTAAGGCTGAGAGTATACTTGTGAATTAAGAGCTTGCTAAATGTATTTCATCTTTTGATAACAGCCTCTTGCATTGGCTTGCTTTGGTTTATTTTAAGAAATACAACAGTCAGTGATAAATACTTTTCTTTACCAACATTGGATTTTCTGTTTTCCACTTTAAAGGCACATGAAGATCCAATGTACGACATAATAAGGGAAAACAAACGTCATGAAAAAGAAATGAGGTAAGTGTGTTTCTGTAGTAAACCGCATTTTCCATTTGGTTTTCATTTTGATAACATGATACTAACGTATAGGTGAAATTTTGATATAAGCTACCCTTATCAACTCAGAACATTTTTTTAATGGCAGTTTCTTTATCTTGGCAGACACTAATGCATTTCTACTTTCTCAATAATCACTCAGTAGTACTTCCTACCTCTTCAGTTCTATTAGCTTCTATATTTTTTCCCAAAACAAAGTTTAAAGAGGAGTCATATTCATTTATGTCATAATATTCAGGTACTTGAGTTTAGTTTAGGCCTAAAAAACAGTTTGATTTTTTTTCTTTTTTTCTTTCATTGACTTCACTGAGATGCTTTCTAAAATTTGGTACATCAAAGTGCCTTCAGTAGACATGACGGGGTGGATTAAGAAAGCTAGTTCTAGGCACCTGATGTTGTTCCTCATGTGAGGTGATTATTCAATACATAAAGCAGCAGAGTTCTTTTAATGCTTTCTTACTTGAACTGCATCAGTGAGATAACTGAACAAACTATAGGTAGCCCATAGAGGAGTACTGCTGGTGTGGGTGTGTTGCTTTTTTTTGTTTGTGTTTTTTAAAAAAAAGGGCAAATCTTTGGAGAGGATACTGAAGACAACAATAAAATAAGCAAATAGTTTGTCCCCATTTGCCAGTAATCCATGAAAGATCAAAGGAAGAGTGCCTGTCAAAAATACCTCTGCATCTAAAGTAGAGTCTGCTCTGTCAGCTTCGCTGACATCATCTCTGTATCAGCAGGGCAATGAATTTCATAGTATCCTAATCCCAATATGCGTCTGTGTGTGGGTAACTATAGAATTTCTTATAGCAATCTGGTGATAGCTGTTGCCTCATTATTTTGCACACATAAATATTGGCCAATAAGCTAGTCTGGCTTTGATATCCCGCGGGATGGAAAGTCCCTGAGAACAGACCATCTGCTCATCTCAAAAGAGGTTGCCTTTATCAGTCTGTGAAAACTGTAACACGAGTGTAATTTGGCAAAAGAGGAAGTGTTCCCCTGCCCTTTGCATGCAGCTTCCATTTCTCAAGCTAGGAAGGAAACAGATGAAAGCTAGAAAAAATTATTACAGGCAGAGGAGAGCTAGAAAGGATTCTCATTCACGTTTTTTAAACTCAGGATACAGCAACTGAAGCAGCTCCTGGAGGACTCTACCTCAGAAGATGATGATGATAGCAGTGACGACAGTGATGACAGTGATGAAGATGGCAGCAGCTCCACTTCCTCAGAATGTAGAGATAAACACAAGAAAAAAAAGAGAAAAAAGGAAAAGAAAAAAAAAGAAAAGAAGAAGAAGAAAAAGAGAAAGCATAAATCATCTAAATCTAATAATGACAAGTCGGAATCTGACTGACGGTGGTCACCCGCTACATGCTTATCGACCTCTACTTGTGAACTGCAAGGAAAGATCCAAAGAACGAGGAAGAAACCACCAGAAAGGGCTTTATTAAACTCAGAACATACAGATGGATACATACAGCATCCTACACTGGCTGTCCTCTTCTGCCCCTCTGCAGTGCTGCAGCCAGAAAGAGCTGCATTAAAAAGTACTCAACCAATCAACCATATCTTTATACTGTAAAACCCATGCTAATGGTCATCCGTCTTGGTCAGATTGGGCCTCTGCATTGCCACATGTGACTATCAGCAGAAAGCAGTGACTACCAAGGTATCGCCAACGAATCTGCAGAATTCAGCAGACTGTCTATTGAAGTGTCTTTTCTCCATGAAGTTATTTTATTACATACAATGCCTCATTGTAACGGGACCGCAGTTTGCACCATGCAGAGCACTGACAGTTCACTTACAGTGCTTATAATAAGCAGGTTGTACTGTATTTTTTTTTTTCTCTGCACACTGCCTATGTGCTGAAGTTCATTGTACTTATCCTACTACTGGCAGCTAGGGAAATAAAGAGCACTGCTGAAGGGAGAAAAAAAGTTAATCAAGGAGATTTACTTGAAGACAAAGGTGCAGTGTCAGCAAGACTCGAGGTTTTTTTTTTTTTTGTGTAGAAAAATCTCAACATCATCACCGTTAATACGCACAGTTCTGCAATACCTAAAGTGTTCTCCAAACCATAGGAGTGGGAGCTGAGTGTAGCGATGTTAGATGTTCAACTTTATTGTAAAGAGGTAGTGGTTTTAGTTATTTAAAAAGGGGGTTTTCATGTTAGAAATGAAAGAGATTAATTTCTACATACAATTCAGTATCAGTTGTTTTGATACATTTGAGAGGTTTTTTTTCCTTTTAAAAAGGCTTTGGGAAGTAAACTCCAACTTATTTTTTATGTTTACTAGAATTATTTTATGTAGTAATATTTTATGAATCATCCCACAAGAATATAAAGGAGTAGGGCTTTCAAAATGGTTTTCAACTATATGCGTGTAAGCCACAGAACTGTAGTAAAGAACTTGTAAGCAGGAAGAAGGGAAAGTTTTGTGTACTTAATTGACCCTGTGGACTGACCACACTTCTAAATAATCTTGCAAGGCAGACTTGCCTAGAAAGATCGAGATAGCTATAAATGGCATTAGAGTAAGCATCTGTTTATGAAACAGCAAGGTACAGTGGTACAAAGCTGTGATTTGAGGACTTAGATGATGTATATGGGTACTCTGCAAAAGGAGAAGGAAAAATAGATTTGTTTTGGAAGGACTTACATAGAACTTAGTCTCTGTGCTTATGCTTATATTGGAAAAAAAGCATGATAAATCTCTAACACTAGCAGAGTGAGCATTAACAGTGAAATCAAGGAACCATAGACTAAAATGCATTTAAGACTTTTTTTTTTTTCTTCCTGAGATCTTTGGAAAAGAGGACAGGGGAAAGTATACATTAAAATGTGTTTTCTCCCTCCTACATGTCTACGAGTCATTTAGTAAAAATACACCCCCGTTCCTTGCCAGTCATTCACAATATGTTCCAGGGAAAAACAAGGTAGTCAAGGCCTACTTACAAAAAGATTTTTTTTTTTATCTTATTCCCAGAGCTTGAATGCAGAGCTGTTTTATCCTCCAGCATTATTTAGCAAATCTCCCTGTGTCGGGATTTACTGGTGTCTCCGGATAGTTCCCTGTATCCACATCATTGTCAACAAATTCAAATCTCCTGGCTCTTTCACCAGAAAAGAGATTTAACAGCTGAAAAGGCATGAGGAGACTTATAATGGCCTCGTTCTCTGTATTGCCACTTTTGGTGCTGAGAAGATCATTGCACTGGTAGCACTGGTGATTGTTGGACAAATGCTGGAAGCCACAGCTAGTATTCACCTGGTGCATTCCAGGAAAATTCTCACTCAAGTTTGTCTAGAGCAGAGCTAACCTAAAGATCTCTTCAGTTACTTTAGCTTTTGTCATTTAAGATTCTTCTGAAGTTTAGTTCAATAAAAACAAACAGTTTTTCCTTAGTCTGTCATCCCATTCCTTGTTAATGGGTCCTTCCCATTTTACCTACCACGATTTAGTATTGGAACAATCAAGAAAAATACTGTAAAAGACCATTCTCTAACTTACATCAAATGCAATTTAGAAGATTTTTTTGATACACCAAATCACTGTTCCGTACCAGACTAAAGGTCCGTTTAACCCGGTATCTTTTTCTGCTCGTGGTCAGCAGTGGATGCCTACACAACAGAGCAGTGCAAACTCTAGTGGCGTTGTTTCTGTTGTTGCACCAAAATGCTGTCTCAGCCTCTACTGCTTATAGTGCAGGTACTTTGAATCTTAGGTTCTATTTTAGTATTCAGTAGCCTTGGATGTATTTTCTTCTTTTACATCCAGTCAGTTCTCGTAAACTTTGCAATTTTTTTCAGCAAGGAACTCTAGAGATTAATTAATAATTAGTGAAGAAACATCATTTGCTCTCAAACTGCTCCCTACTAGTTTCATTTTGTACACCCTAGTTCTTAAAATGGAAGGCATGTGAACAACTGATTCCTATTAATTTGCCCCATATCATTACCAGTTTTATAGATCTTTATCATATCGCGTACATAAAGATCTTAGTGGCTCTCTACTGAAACTCAAAAGTAGAGCCAATTTCAAAATTAAAGCTAACACTTTCTAGAGCAAGATTTTGAGTAGTGCTGACTGGCAGCCAGTGCTAGAGTGCTGAGAAGCATGATTCATTTCATCATTTAGCATTTTAAACAGTGCCAAAGCTGGCATTTAAGAGTCTCTAGGTCTTTTAGAAACACATAGACTAGAGATAAATACCAACACCCATTTATATTAATGGAAAATGATTCAGTGTAGAAGTAAATCCAGAAAGCAGGATAGAAAGCTATAGTCTTAAAAGACTGATGAGCCTCATTTTAAGTCTTAACCATTGAACTATTTATGGTTTTGTTCAAAGAACCATTTTTTTTTTTTTTTAATAGCAGTCTTTGTCTTCTTTGTAGAAGAAATGTATATTTCCATTTGAAAGTTCTGTTGAAGCCTGAGTGGTAATAACAGCATAACCGTATAGTCCCATGAATCTAAATAACTGTGAAATACAGCTACAACATACCTCATAGGCAATACAGCTTAACAGGTCTTCAGCTCCCAGGTCTGTTATCTTAATACTCTAAACCGTTATTCTCAGAAAGATTACTTCAGCAAAAATACTGACATCTGTCTTTTTGCTTTGGCCATGAAATTACTTGGGATTTATATGTTGACTGAGATGGCAGTGAGTCAGTCAGGGGAATCTGAGGACTTTTTTTTTTTTTTAAAAACAGTGCACTTTTTTAAAAACAGTGCACTTTTTTAAAAACAGTGCACTTTTTTAAAAACAGTGCACTTTTTTAAAAACAGTGCACTTTTTTAAAAACAGTGCACTTTTTTAAAAACAGTGCACTTTTTTAAAAACAGTGCACTTTTTTAAAAACAGTGCACTTTTTTAAAAACAGTGCACTTTTTTAAAAACAGTGCACTTTTTTAAAAACAGTGCACTTTTTTAAAAACAGTGCACTTTTTTAAAAACAGTGCACTTTTTTAAAAACAGTGCACTTTTTTAAAAACAGTGCACTTTTTTAAAAACAGTGCACTTTTTTAAAAACAGTGCACTTTTTTAAAAACAGTGCACTTTTTTAAAAACAGTGCACTTTTTTAAAAACAGTGCACTTTTTTAAAAACAGTGCACTTTTTTAAAAACAGTGCACTTTTTTAAAAACAGTGCACTTTTTTAAAAACAGTGCACTTTTTTAAAAACAGTGCACTTTTTTAAAAACAGTGCACTTTTTTAAAAACAGTGCACTTTTTTAAAAACAGTGCACTTTTTTAAAAACAGTGCACTTTTTTAAAAACAGTGCACTTTTTTAAAAACAGTGCACTTTTTTAAAAACAGTGCACTTTTTTAAAAACAGTGCACTTTTTTAAAAACAGTGCACTTTTTTAAAAACAGTGCACTTTTTTAAAAACAGTGCACTTTTTTAAAAACAGTGCACTTTTTTAAAAACAGTGCACTTTTTTAAAAACAGTGCACTTTTTTAAAAACAGTGCACTTTTTTAAAAACAGTGCACTTTTTTAAAAACAGTGCACTTTTTTAAAAACAGTGCACTTTTTTAAAAACAGTGCACTTTTTTAAAAACAGTGCACTTTTTTAAAAACAGTGCACTTTTTTAAAAACAGTGCACTTTTTTAAAAACAGTGCACTTTTTTAAAAACAGTGCACTTTTTTAAAAACAGTGCACTTTTTTAAAAACAGTGCACTTTTTTAAAAACAGTGCACTTTTTTAAAAACAGTGCACTTTTTTAAAAACAGTGCACTTTTTTAAAAACAGTGCACTTTTTTAAAAACAGTGCACTTTTTTAAAAACAGTGCACTTTTTTAAAAACAGTGCACTTGTTTTTCCTTGGTATGCCTACAGTTAGCATGCAACGAGCTGTTTTTGCTATTGGCTCCTGTCTTCCATTGTTTCATTTTAATAGAAAGACATATAACTAATCTTTTCCAACATAAGGCAGAAAACAGGATACTGTAAAAGGGACAGCTTTATGCCACGCAGATGCTACCAAACTGAAAATTAAAATATAGAGTTAAAGCTTGGCAAACCAACATAGCCCACTGGCTCTGCTTCAGTGATTACACCACACCCACTTTGCAACAGAGGTTTTGGTTAGCTACAAATAATGATTTAGAAATTCTGAGTCACAGACAGTAAGTCTGTCCAAACAAAGCTCCCAGTGCAGCAGTCTCAGAAGCCTCTAAGGTTTGCTACTGGTGTGCCAAGCAGCAAATAGGTTCTTCAGCTGCCCTTTTCAGTGGATGCTGCGGGAAGCATGTGAGAACTTCGAAGGCAATGCAGTACTGCTACAGCTACAAGCTCATAACACTGCCAGAGCACTGCCGTTACTCATCACCGGGCAATCTAGCTTCAGGGGTAACAAAAGGTGACACAAATGTGCTTCTGTAACAGTAAATATCAAATATCACTGTGGTGAGTTACCTGGCTGAATAAAAAGAGCCTGGACTTTAATCCACAGGCTTTTAAAATGCAGTTTGTACTTCACAACCTTTCTGAACATTAAATACAGTTGTGAGCCAGTTGACTTAAGATGCAGTCCACAAATTATCCATGCTGCTGAGTGAAGAAAAAGCCAAGTAGAAGATTTAGTTTTAACGTCACAGGGCTAGTACTGTCTGAGTACAC